AGCTAGCATTTACTCTAGTTGTGTTTCCTTGCCTTCTTTTAGCCTATTCTGGTCAAGCTGCATATCTTATGAATAACTTGAGTCATTCTCAAGATGCCTTTTACCGTTCAATTCCAGGTTAGTCATATTTTTCACTCTATTCTGAAATTTTTGTTTATGAATTGTGATTTACCTGTAGTATTTTGGAATTGTTGAAAAATCCCAGAATCACGGGATTAAATTTATTCCAAAATTATGTGGATGTTATTTTTAAATATGTAATTACTAGAATATTTGTATTTTAGGTAGTTCTGTTTACAGGCCAAAGTTTAGGAGTTTATTCGCTTCTTAGTTTCTATTTTCTAGCTTGACAGCTAGCTCTTCTGTCTGTATATATATTCTGATAACCAACAATACTACATTTGGTATTGAAAACTTAATGGATGCTTCTCCTCTTTTTTCCCCTCCTTTTTTCAAATTTATGTTAACTAATTTATTATACTTTTGTTTCTATGTTATGCAATGCAATCATCCTTGCAATTTGCTAGACTGCATAATATAATTAACTATTACTAACCATCTCAAATGAATTGAAGCTGATAATACACATCCGTTAATGACGAGGTCAAACCATAGTTATTAGACTGAGTATAATTGAGAGTCATAAATGATGTTTTGTGCCTTTTGTTCAAGTTAGGCTTTGGGATATAGAGGCTAGTACTGTTTGTGCATGTGTTTGTGTGCGCGTGTGGTCAGGCTAGTACTCTGTGTGTTAGTACTGTTTGTGCGTGTGTCCAGGCTAGTACTGTTTGTGCATGTGTGTGTACGCGCGGAAAGAGAGAATTACTGAAGCCTAACTTGTGTTGGTTTTTCCTTTTAATATCTTCTCATTTTCTATATTAGATAACTAGAATGCCTTAGCTCTCAGCATGCCCTCATTTTCTCAATGCAGATTAGCTTATCACATTTATCATTTTATGTAATGGTTACAGTAAATTGTTGGATTTTCACTGCCAAGCTTTTCTTGTGCCTTTTCTCATCGCTTGCTTATATATTTTCCTAAACTGCCATGGTATCGTTTCCTTATGCTTAAAGCTTGCATCTATTCAAATACTCTCATTTCAACTTGTTTTCCTTACTGATTAATTTATACATTTTATAAACCTATTACAACAATTGTGTACTTTTTTTTTGTTTGATGATGCAGATATGTTCTTCATGTATTAGTTGTTTATATATTAGATTTTGATTATCCATAGTATTGCAGATAGAATATACTGGCCAGTGTTTATTGTTGCAACATTGGCAGCCATAGTTGCAAGCCAGGCCACAATAACTGCAACATTTTCAATTATTAAGCAAGCCCTTGCTCTTGGATGTTTCCCTAGAGTGAAAGTGGTATATACATCAAAGAAATTCCTTGGCCAGATTTATGTTCCAGATATTAATTGGATCCTTATGATTCTTTGCATTGCTGTTACTGCTGGGTTCGAAAATCAAAACCAGATCGGAAATGCATATGGTAAGTTTTCCCCTTGTTGAATGTTAAGATGAATATGTTGTTCCTTTTAATATTAGTAGCATATAATTTTTTGTCTAATTTTAGGCTTGATAAGAAGAAAATTGAGAATCAAAATGATCTTAATACTTAAAACAGAGAAGGAAAGAAAAAGAAAAAATTAATAATCTTCTACATAAGTTAAAGATTATTTATTCTTAAGTTAAAAATTAGCTTTTTGGAGAAGCTAATATGAAAAAGTTAATACAAAACTAACTTAGGCCCTGTTTGAAAAAAATTCTCCATAACGACGTCTAGGTAAGAAAAATGAGAAGAAAACAATGGAATGAACTTCTCCATAGGTTAAAATTAACTTATACACAAGTTAAGAAAATAAAAAATTAGAGAAGTCATATTAGAGAGTTTCTACAAATTAGTTTATGCACAAGTTTTAACATATGGAGGAGCTTACCTCACTTTTTCTCCTTATCTTTCTCTCGTAAAAGTCCTCATTTAGTAGCCTGCATCAACTTATGAGCACTACACCTTAACCTTAACATTATATTGTACAACCTTTATCAGCCTGTACATCCCATTTAGACATTGATCTTGTCCAACAAGTTTATGTATATTATTCATACACAAATGCTAGCACACTGCTTATGCTGCTTGCATCCCATTTGAATATGTTGATATTTTTGGTCCTATATGACTCCCATTTAAATATGCAAGATGGATAATGAGGGTGAGCCTTGGAGCAACAGAAAGGTTGCTGCATTGTGACCTGCAGGTCACAGGTTCAAGTCCCGGAAACAATCCTTCTTCTATGTGAGGGGTTCAGGCTACATAGATTTTCCCTCCCCATACTAGGTGAGAGCCTTGCGCACTGGACCACCCTTTATATTTGTTTGCAAATGTTATAAAATGCACAACAAACATTATGTTTGAGAAAAAAATGAGATTGACTAGGATGTTTATAAGTGTAGTACATAAACTGACAAACCTAGCCTATAGTAAGAGAAGGTCAAAGATAGTTATCATATATATATAAACTCCTTTGTAGCAGGATCTTTTAGCACCTTTCTTAAGACAATTTCCACTTCCTAGGGCCAAAACCAGCACAGAAATAAGCTTGATGTGTGCTCCCTATTCACACTACTAAGCATGATCTGGGTCATACGCCATACCAATCGCTATCAAGAAATAGAGTGAATTGATATGAACGGGAATTGAGCCAAACCAGCACAGAAATGGTTAATCTATTCAAATTTGTTTTACGGTAAACGGATTTACCAAAGTACAAATCCAGGCGTTGCATTTGGTGTTAGATAAAGATCTCATACCATGTTGTCCGTGTGTATGTTTGTATTGTAAATGCATGGATTAGGATACATAGTAACACACCAAGACATGCCAGTCATTTTTTTTGGTTAAATAGTAAAAGAAAATCTAGACCAGAGGGAGAATACATGTAAAAGGGGATAAGAAGCCCTCTAAAATTATGTCAGCAAAATACAGCAGATAAAAAGAAAAAAAATGTAGCATAATTGCTCAATCTCCAGGATCACAATAATTACACACACAGAGGGGCAAGAGGTATATGAATGTGGGAACATAATCTTTACGATTAGATATAACCATGAATATGTAAGATTTAAATTAAAATAATCATTAATATTTTAAAATGGTCATGTGACTATCAAATAACTTTTAATCTTAACCATTTACCCCTCAGGTATTTTAGAATTATGTTAGCAAGGCATAACTTAGGTTTTCTTGAAATATATCCTAAAAAACAAGAAGTGTATGATAGCACCCATCATCTCCAGCATACATCTACATGTTTTGTAGGAGCATATTAAAAAGTTATATTTTTTTTATTTTCCTAGATACTCTTCAAACGAATAACTTATTAACAAAAGATGGATAGTAATCTTGAAACTTCTATAAGCAAAGGGGTTTATTTGGATGGTGGTAACCTTATTTCAATGTTAAGAGAATATAAGCAACCAAATATTTTCCTATAAACCAATAGGAGCTCTTCTCAGATCATGATGTTTGAATAATTTCTTCAAAATAGCCCTATAATATTCTTTCCCTACCTTCTACATTTATATGTTTAAGCAGGACTTCATTTTGCATTTTGTGTTCCAAAACAATACAGTTTAGGTAACTTTTTAGTGCTTGTGGACATGTTTAATACTTACCTTACAATGTCATTTCAGCATTCTTTAAGCATGCTAGTTAAACTTTGTAATGCTAGGAACTCAATTATTTATTTCATAACAGGTACTGCAGTTGTGATAGTCATGCTTGTTACAACATTCCTTATGATTTTAATCATGATACTAGTGTGGCGCTGCCATTGGATTCTTGTCCTCGTCTTCACTGGTTTATCATTGATTGTGGAATGCACATACTTCTCCTCAGTCCTCTTCAAAGTTGATCAAGGTGGGTGGGTTCCACTTGTAATCGCTGGAGCATTTCTGATTATTATGTCTGTTTGGCATTATGGCACTGTGAAACGCTATGAGTTTGAAATGCATAGTAAGGTCTCAATGGCATGGATTCTGGGTCTTGGCCCAAGTTTAGGACTTGTTCGTGTCCCTGGAATTGGACTAGTCTACACAGAACTTGCAAGTGGAGTGCCCCACATTTTTTCTCATTTCATTACCAACCTACCAGCCATTCATTCTGTGGTTCTTTTTGTATGTGTGAAGTACCTTCCTGTCTACACAGTCCCAGAAGAAGAGCGATTCCTTGTCAAGAGAATTGGACCTAAGAGTTTTCACATTTTTCGATGTGTGGCAAGGTATGGCTATAAAGACCTGCACAAGAAAGATGATGATTTTGAGAAAAAACTCTTTGAAAGCCTGTTCACATTCGTTCGGCTCGAGTCTATGATGGAAGGATGTTCAGATTCAGATGAATACAGTTTATATGGACAGCAAATAGAGCATACAAGAGATGGCCTTTTTCATAACAGTGGAAGCACAGTTTCTTCCAATATCAATATGGATTTAACAATGTCCTCAGTAGATTCAATAGTACCTGTTAGATCACCACATCACATGAATATTACTGTCAGGTCTTCCGGTCAAACAAGCAACCAGACCGAAGTCGATGAACTTGAATTTTTGAATAGCTGCAGGGATGCTGGGGTGGTTCACATACTAGGAAACACAGTTGTAAGGGCAAGGAGGGAATCAAGGTTCTACAAGAAAATAGCAGTTGATTATATATATGCATTTCTTAGGAAGATATGCAGGGAAAATAGTGTGATCTTCAATGTTCCTCATGAGAGTCTTTTAAACGTTGGTCAAATTTTCTATGTATAGTATAAACCTCCGAATCCTTCTGTGATTGCCATTTTTTTGCAAAGTTGAGCTAAGTGTAGCATATCAACAACACTAAGCTTATGGTAATCAGTGTTTCAATTCAAAGGAATCGGCTTAGAAGAATGGTTTTCTGCCAATTATTTCTTAAAAATTGACACTATTGCTCCATCCTAACTAAACTGATTTCAACTCATTTTTCTTCTAAAACTAGGTCTTCCATGTAACTCTTCTTCCATTTCATACTGCCTAAATACTTTAGATAGGAAACATTAATATTTACATAAATTACATGTAACCAACCAATATTATTTGAGATTTGTTTAGTGATACCCTGTGGATTTAGTAAGCAGATCTCAAATCAGAGGTTCAGCAAGGTGAACAAACTCCAAATTATGGGAGAGTTTGGTAGAGTTTGTAAAACTTTTCCAAAACACATGGGGTGTACATTGGTTATGTTTTTTAAAGTAGAGGGGGCACAAGGAGAACAAACTCAATGGTAGGTGAGTTAGGTGCAACTCAGCTTTATATTTTTATTGTGTGGAATCTAAAGTTGCTTCATGTGATGGGATCGTGCAGTGTATTCTCTTCCTTCTGTTTTCTTTTTTAGTTATTTTCCATACATATGATCACATAATACCAAGGCCAAACATTATTTTAATATCGTGAAATGTAATATTGGGAGAATCATTTCTTGGCCAAACATATTACGGTTCTAAGGCATAACACAATCATTTGATTCATCCATTATAGTTTTATTAATTTATCATCTAAGTAGTTGGATTAAATTCAATCTACATAGGTTTGAATTGCCTATGTTTTTGTTTTGTTTTTTTATTAGTAGCTGGTTTTTTATTTATTGTGGAAACATTAAATAAATAATATGATATATAATTAAAAATATTAGATATCTCATCTATAAGTTATTATATGCTTCTTTGCTCATTATACTTCTAACACTTAAAATATTGGCTATTAAAAATATATTTACACCACTTAGGTAATTACATTATATATCCTACTTCAAATAATCACTAAATAATTAAAAAAAAATGAAATAAATCATATTCAAAAAGAAATATCTACATTATGCTAATTGAATTTTTTTATTTTTATTTTTATAAAATCTTCTTTATGCAGTTTAAAGTTTCACATTTTGTTAATTAAGAGTTAGAGATTAGGTGAGATTTTCTTAGGTTGGACATTTTATCTCCTTGCATATAAATTATGTTTTTCAAGAATAAGTTTGGTCTATCTCTTTTTATTTGTCATCATGAGTTTGGTGTGATCCCTTAGTTAGAATATCATTGTCTACTTGTGGTGCTAAATATGTTATTTTAAAAAAATAAATAATCCATATTAATAGAAAAAAATGTTATTTCAATATTTGTGATCTTTTTATCGATTTTTTTTTTAATTCAACAATTTGAATTTTTTTAGAAAACTTTCATATTCATTGATCCAATTTACGAATGAAACATAAAAAATAATTATATATATATATATATATATATATTGGATTATTTTATCCAAAACATTAAAAAAAATACATGTTTTAAATTTATCAATTCATAATTTTTCTATCCACTAATCTTAGATAGTCCAAGATATTTTTCCAATTACCAATTTTATGAAACACCCAAAGTTAATATTAATAATAATATTGTCATTTGTACTAAAACTATTGAAAGAAATATCTTATTTAAAAATGCATTAAATACAATTTAAATTTAATTATGTTTTTATTTTTACATTATTAGTTTTAAAAATATATATAGTCATCTTATTTTCAGAAATTTGATCTCATTATTATAACTGTGCAATTATTTTTCAATTATTAATTTGATATCAAATATTTTAAAAATATGTTAATATGAATAGTAAAAATCAATTAAGTATACATGCTAACGTAACAATGTAATAAAAAATCATGATAAGGTTTGTTGTTAACCAATAAATTACGCATAAATCAAAATTATACAAGAAAAAAAATGAATGAAATTCGTAAATGGATTATAATTGGATTGAATGTCAGTTAAGTAATTTAAAAAAAATATAGTTTTTAAAAACATTTCAAATTTATTTTTAATATTTTTTATTAATTACAAAATAACACCATATTATTTATATTTATAAAAATATATAAATTTTATAATTGTTTTTTAGAAAAAATATATAATCTATATCCATATTATATTTTATTTCATTTCTTCTCTACTCCCTCTTCGCTTTCTCTTTAATATTTATCTCTAATATCTATCTCGTCTCATTTTTATTTATTTTCAATTCATAATTTTAAAATTAATATATAAAATCAATTATCATGTTTATTTTTATTTTAAAACTCTCAATTTATTTTTTAAAAACATCACGGTAAATTAAAAAAAAGATATATAAATTATTATTTATCTTAGTTTTAATAACGTGAGACTTATAAATTTAATATAACAATATTAAGTTTTAATAAATTAAAAAATATATATAATAAAAATTATTAAATAATTATATTTTATATTATATATTTATCATGTAATTGGATTAAATAAAATTCAACTTGATTTAATCCAAATCACAAAAATATAATTTAGATTTGATTAGAGTGATATTCACATTATATAACTTATTTACACCCTCTTTCCAAAAAGGTTAACCCAAAAAAAAAATCAAATAAAAAATTATCATTAAAAAAATATTCTTAGTAAAGTAGAAAAGAATTTGGATAGAAAAATAAACTTCTTCGACTTTGAAGAGAGATTGAGTTGCAGATTTTATCTCATGATAAATATTTGAAGAATAATCAAGTTTGAGACACACTTAAGGACTATTTTGTAATTTCATATAGGAGGGTGTGAAACGAAATATATGTCGTAGAAAAAGAAAAGACCCAAATTTCGAAACAGATTGTCGGTGGAGTGAGGGCCCACAAGTTGACATGATCCGAAACCCAAAATAGCCCATTACTTGTGGAGAGGTTTCAAAAGCACATATCCTAGTTTCTTCTCTTTTCTAAAATCCCAGTCTTTTTTTCTAGGATTAAAGGATGACAAATAAAATAAAAAAAATTATACGAAAATGAGGTAGTTTAAATTAGAAATCACATATGAATGGATATTTATTTATTTATTTTTGTAAATTTTAAAAATGATTTAAAATATAATCAAAATTTTGAAAAAAAAAATTAAGTAATCCACATATTTTATTAAAAATTGCTTGAAAAATAAATATCCAAGATAAATAATTTAATTTCAAATTTAATATATATATATATTAAAATTATATAAATAAATCGAGTGTTTTCAATATGAAAAAAGAAAAAATATATAACATTTAAATTCAATTATTTTTAAAAGACAACAACATGTATAATTGATTATGTCATGTTGAGTATAATGGATTATATAAACTAACATAATATATTTTTTCCATTATTTTCATATTTCATAGAAGTGTCTATGGAAGTGAGCTTGTTAGATTTAGATGCATGCATAACAAGTAGTGGATAATAGTTTGAGTAAATTGAAGTTGGTGATATCCTATTCTATGATTATTATTTTGATTATAAAGTTTTGCTAAACTTATACTATCACTTTTCAAGGTATATTTGGAATGAAGTTGTATATTCAAACCAAAATATAATCAAAATCTTTATAATAATAAAAAAGATAAAGAGAGGTATTTTGAAGATTCACACTAAACAACATAACTTAAATTCAAATAATACATTATTAACCAAAGAAAAAAAATACATATATTTAAGATATGATTGTGTGTAAAAAGACAATGGGTGGGTTCTGATTCAAAGTTTAGCTCACTTTTTATTAAATTTTATTGGATTTGGATAAAGATAGAGATAATATGTTATATTACTTTTCATGATTTTAATTTACATATATTTTAAATAAATAATATACTTAAGTCAAATATTATATGAAAATAGTTAATTAGAAAAAAAATTAAAAGTATAAATCAAGAATTATGCAATAGTTTTAGTTAAATGTGTAGTTTTGAATTTAATTATTTTATAATTTAAATGATTTAAATATTAAAACAATTCATTTACATTTGTTGAAGTTGTGAAAATTAAAATAAAACAATAAAATATGGACGAATCTGGATGAGTATTGTTTGTCATTCATAATGTTGTGATCAGGTGAATGAATGGAAGACTAAAGTTAAAGAAAACATATAGTAAAACCTTAGATTAGATTACGTTAGTCTATTATTTTATTTAAAAATTATAAAAGTATAAAATATTTATAAAAAAACTGTGTCCTTTATAAAAAAAATTATTTTCCAACTCTATATACTATACAATCGTTTTTTCTTAGAAAGTCTTTTAATTAGAACTACAAGCTTGATTATATATATATATATATATATATCAATTTAAATTAAATTATATAAGAAAGAGAAGATTAAGTAAATTATTCAACATCTGAGAAGAAATTGAAAAGTTAGAATTTAAAAAATAAAAAAGAACAAGTAATGAAAATTGAGAGAAATGAAAGTGAGAAGAGAACTTTCAAAATTAAGAGTTTGCATTTTAACAGGTTTTGTGAAGATATACATAATTGGATTACTCAACTCAAAATATTCGAAAAATAAGTTTGTAATCTAAATTAAATAAAATTTATTTTATCCATATATATATATATATATATATATATATATATATATATATATATATATATATATATATAAATTTATATAATTGTAAACTTATAGATAATATGGTTTATAGAATAATAATTATTTTTTAAATAAAAATAATATTATTTTATTATATATATATATATATATATATATATTAAATTAATTTGATAAAAAATTTATTGATTTAATAGATAAATATTGAACTAAGTTTTTAATAATAATATTAATTACTATTTTAAACTAATAAATTATAAAATAAAAATAATAATTTTATTCTTTAATAATTTATATATTAAATCATTATATTTTAAATAAATATAATTTAAATTTTTAAAGTTTATTTTTTAATTTTTTTATTTAAATATTTTAATTAATTATTTGACATAAATATATTAATAATTTTTTAATTTTCAATCAAATAAATTTGATTTGTTAGTTCGTTAATCTAATATAAAACTAGATTAAATTATAAATTATGTCCTATTTTAAGTGTTACTTAACCCGTAAAACGATATTTAACTAAACCGGCCTTTTTGATAATTTAAGTATGATGAAATGATTAGCATCATATACCTTTTGGGGTGCACATGCGAGAATGATGTGGTGATCATAAAAGAGTGGTGTTGTCAAAGCTTGACCCTCCTATTAGCAAAATAAAGTACCTGATATTGTAAATCAATTGATTAATGTTACCTTAGATTGAAAGCCACTGCTATAAAAAAAGTATGGTGAAAGTTAGGAGTGGGACCCACCTAATAGTTTTGCATTAACGAGGCAGTGCAGTTAAAGTATTTATGTTGGGACTCCACATGCATTCCCATGCAATTTGCATTTCTTTATCCCACGTACTTCCACTCTTTTTAAAATCTGTTTCACCATTTTTCTAATCAAATTTTGAGTTCACGACCGATCATTAGGTTATTGATTGAGATTACTATATAAAAGAAACAAAATTAATTTATAAAATATTAAAATTTATGATTTTTATATAAATTAGAGATATTAACATTGATCCGTAAAATATTTGTGAAAAAATTAATCAAAATATATTTTTTAGTCCTATTCTTTATTTTAAAAAGAATTTGATGGTAGAGACAAAACTCTTGATTTTTTAATATAGCAAACTTTAATCAAGTTGGTCAACATTAATTTCAGGAGATAACTCTTTATAGTAAGTTGAATAACTCCTCATATTATCTACTAAATTGGTTACCATTAATTTTAAAACATCTCATATCATAAGTCACATATGTTTAACACCTTTAAAATACTTGTCGTTCTTAGAAAAGAAGACAATTAAGAAACTATCATAATAAATTTTTAATGATTTGACAATGTTGTCAACTACTCTAAATTCTTCAATTAAATTCTACAACTAATTAGTGAGAATTGTGGTCTCAAAGCATGTCACATATTCAACTTCCAAAGTAGATGTAACAATGACACACTACTTCACATTCTTTTCATGAAATTGCTCCTTCAATTAAAAGATATACAACTTTCTTGAATTCATACCGCCAGTAAAGTCTAGATTTGTATATCCAATCACCTCTAGGTGATTAGATTTTCTGTAAGTAAGCATATGATTCTTTGCAGTTTTCCAATTATCCAGTCTGGGATTACTCTAGTTTCTTACTAACATACCAAGTGTAAAGTTAATATTTGATATCGTACATATTTGAACGTATATCAAACTCTCAACAACCAATGCATAAAGGATATTTTTCATTTGATTCCGTTTAAATCATTCTTTGCACATTGCATGAGACTAAATTTGTCTCCTTCTATATTGAAATGAGAGATATTGAACATTTATCCATTATGAATCTCTCTAAAACATTATTAATATATATTTTCTCGAGACAAATCTAACAATTCTTATGATCTATCATAAAATATTTATAATATCATCATATAATATGTTTCACCCATATCTTTCATTTAAAATTTGTTAGACAGAAACTTCTTAGTTGTACTTAATAGACCAAGATCATTGGTTGCAAGTAAGATATCATCAACATATAGAATCAGAAACATGAATTTGATCATACTAACCTTTATATATATATATATATATATATATATATATATATATATATATATATATATATATATATATATTATTTTACTCTTTATTTTTTTATCTTAAGTATTTTCTAAACTAATTATTTTCTTCATAAATAATGTATTTAACATATTTTTATTAAAAGCATAGTCAAATAACCTACTCTTAACTCAATTATCTTTTGAATCCACTTTGAGTCTTAACCATTTCTTGAATTTAAATCCAAGAAATCCAAGAATTAAAGTCTTTCCAACCCGGAAACTATCCATACCTAGATTTTCAGAAAAACAAGAAGTTTGGAATCGTTACAAAAATTTAGTTCAAGAAAAAATCAATAATGTAAGAAAAGGAGAAGTGCCAGAGTTACAAAAAAAAAAAAAAAATATCAGGCACTACAAGAAAATAAACGAGTTCAAAAAATACATTAATATATGTTTTTTATTCTTCCTAAAATTTCAGTACATTTATCTATTTTAACCTATCCTTACCTTAGTCATATTACAAATAAAGAAAAAATCTTATTGATATGTTATGGTACGAGTTCTAATAACAAGAATTAAAGATTTATAAAAAGTCTTATTGATATGTTATGGTACGACTTCTAATAACAGGAATTAGAGATTTATAAAGTCTATGATAAAAAAAGATATCATGATAATGAGTGAAATTTTAAATCTAAACACCTGAAAGAAAATGATAAATAGCTGAAGACGAGAGAATGTTTTCTTAAATTGATTCAATCCACGACCAGGATGATTTTTTTTTTTGGGAATTATGATGATGTTTTGAATTAATAACATTTTACTGTAAAATTAGTTAATATGTTGTAAATCCAAAAAGTAAATATATTGTATATTTACTTAGAGAGAGGTGCAAAGAAAACTGGAATAAAACAAAAGAAAAGCAAGGATCCATGACATACTCCTCCACCTGTTTTTGCTCTGCCATCGCTCCATCTCCTGACCTCATATTATTCGTCATCAAATCAATTGTAATCATTTTTCATTTACAAAATCAAAGGCTACATTTTCATGTATGCATAATTAAATCTATTCTAATTATAGTCATCACGTGGCTGATGTAGATTGCAGTCAAGCCAACTTATATATATTGCTTTTATTGTTATTGCCTTTATTACTTTTCTTTATTTTAGTTCACATCTATTCAAACATTTGCATTAACATATTATATATACAGTACATTGTTTATGTAATTCTACTTTTTATGCCTCTTTCTACCACATTAATTATATATCTTTTCCACACTTTTCCTCTCTACCCTATTATAAAACTTCTCTACGTAAATAAAGCTTACCTAGTTACCTCTTGCCCTACCCATTATTATATATGGGTCATGTGATAACACTGCATGTTCAGCAAAAAATATATGTACAAGTTCTTCAAACAGTCAAACAATGCTTCTATAAGAGAATAATATCCCTCCACTTGTGTGATTCACAATCCACATTCAAACCTCTCACTCACTCTATCATCATCATCAACAACAACAATAACATTGAACATTCATATATTCCTTTGCCACAGGTTACAAACATATATGACACAAATAATGTGGCCTCTGAGCTCTCAAAAGATCAGCACCACCACCATGAAGATGCAAAATGATGAATCTGCAGCCTCCACCAGCACCAGTACCACTACCGTGGCAACCAAATCCATGGTGTCAACATGCCACTGTTGTTGTTTGGTGACAAAACTGATGAGGAAACTCAAGAGACGTGGCCGCACACTGCGACCAAAAAGTGCGAGTCGACAAGGTTCGTTCCAATGCCGCTATGACCCGTTGAGCTATTCCTTGAACTTTGACTCCACTGGATGTGGCAGCTTAATTGATGAAGATTACTATAAGTTCTACGCTTTTTCTTCGAGGTTTGTGGCAAATCCAAGAACCTCATGCCCCGTTCTTCAACTACCATCTGGGAACTCCCATTAACCACTGCAATAAATCTCTCTTTTTCTTTTTTTCTTTATCAAATACTAGTTTCTCATTTCCCATTTTTTCACAAAAATATTTGTGGGTTTACCTTCTTTCCAGTGATAAAGAAGGGTATTAGGGTATCATCTGCAAAATTTTCGTAGTGAAGGGATCCAATGTCTATGAGCTTGGTGTGTAACATATACCGATCGAATGATATCAGTAATCGTTGATTTCTTTTAGTTCTATGTACAATGTAACTTAGCTTGCGTAACTTTCTCCTCAGAAGTCTTGTTAATTTTCATAGTTTTGAATCGCTTTGTCGTCAAGATTGCCATGTTACTACAAATTAATTTATATCTCATACCACAAGTTAATGAATCTTTCATTTATTTTATTTTTCTCTGTTTGGAACAACATGGTCAAAGAGAAGGAAGGAAAAAAAAGATATACAGATTAATTAAAGAACAAAGCCTAGAAGCTTGCGGATTTATTAATAGCATATGTGGATTTATTCTCTGGAATAAAGTCAAACGATGTTAACAATTATTGTGAGTAAATCTCGGATATATTTTCAATTTGCATGCATATAGAGTTCGTAATTAATTGACATAATATGCTGGCTTGAGCTTTTTGATGATCGAATATGGTGTTGAAAGTCGATAGTGGAGGTTAAAATTGACTTGTAGTAAAATGTATTATGCAGAATGGAAATGGGTCAAAAAGGAAGTCATGATGGTCCAGCACAAGGATGTTGTACTGACTAGGTTGAATGTGTGCACTGTAATGAATGTTACTGTAGATCACATGCATTGCAAATGAGTATTTTAAAGGGAGTGTGAGAGAGTGCAATGAAGAGAGAGAGAGAGAGAGAGAGAGAGAGAGAGAGAGAGAGAGAGAGAGATGCTGTTTCTTGAAATATGGGAAGCCATGTGCAGGTGAGCTACTTTCTCCAAGCAAGCATAGGTTATTAGGGAAGTTATGGGACAAAATTCCGCAAGTAATGGTCAACAAAATTAGCACCAACACCCATGCATGGTCTAGGTTTAGCCAGAACACAGTTGTTAACTTTCATTCTTTTCTTTTCTTTTTCTTCTATGTAGTAATAAAAATGAATAATTAACTGTATATGTTTCATACTTTTTCAATTTTTCTTTGGATATTTTTTCTATTTTTTATTATTAACCTTCTTTATTTATTTAGAAAATAGTTTTCCAACACTTTCATATATATTCTTATAAAAGAGTTGTCAAAAAAAGATAACAAGTTAAATGCCATGTTACAATCTCAAGCAACTTGAGAAGCGTTAGAATATTCAATTTAGTAGAATATTACAACACAATAAAAGTTTGTAACACATTTTATAATAAAAGAAAGGATAGTTTTTATTATTATTATTGTTATTATTATTAGGAAAAAGGATAGGTTTAGAAAAGAATAATACAAGATAAAACAAATTACATGTTGAAAAGTGATAAATAGAACTTATTCATGCCAGAAAATAGAACAATAAATAAGAGCACAGACATAACAATATGTGTGGTTTCTCCCTTCAGATCTATAAGGCCGATAGATGTTGAAAAAATAAGAGATCTATTTCTAAAGACAAAATGATGTTCAAGTTATTATAAGAAGAAAAGAATAAAGACAATAGAAAAAAAGTGTTTTTTTAATAATAAATTATACATATTTTAATATCATTTAATATTTTGATAATGAGAATTTATTTTTTATAATTGAATAACTAGATATATTTATTTTATATATATATATATATATATATATATATATCAGAAAATTAAATGTAGGAATATATTCGTTATATATCATGTAAATAAACATTAATATTATAAAATTATTTTTGTAAATATAGCATTATTCTTTCCTTTATATATCACGGATGTTTTATATATTATAAGAGTAACGTCAACAAATTGAGCATCAACACCAATATTCTAAACAATATTCATTAATTATGCAAGTTTTTATGTCTATTCAGTTTCTGATATATCTTAATGATTCCATGCACAGAGACAAAGGTGACAGCAAAATCCATAAGCTTCCACACAATTACTTTAAAGCTATTATGAAGCTAAGTATTGAAGTTTACTCACTCATGCCAAGAAGTTATTTTTGTCTATCAGTTTCTGAAATGATGAAAGAGTTTCATAGTGCAAGTTAATAAGTTCGTTACTTAATCCCATGTTAGTGTTTTATGGAAGAGTACTGATATTTTGACAACCGGTTTTAAACATCCATTCGACAACTGAATAAAAAATATTAAATACACAGTGTTATCGAATAAAAAAATATTAAAGGCGAAGAGTTGTGGCAGGTAGCGTCGCTCGAGCGATGTAAATTTCGCTTGAGCGACGACACTTTAGATAGCGGTTAATAACAACCGCTTTTAAAAAGACATATACTATAGCGGTTTGTGAGTGAACCGCTCACTAAAGTATGTTGTGTTAGCGGTTCAGAAGTAACCGCTATCTAATGTGATACTTTTAAAGAGCGGTTAGGAGTGAACCGCTATCTAAAGTCATATTCTTTTTCATTCTTCCCTCCTACTTTCTTCAACCTCGCGCTCTTTCTGACTGGGTTTTTTTGCCGCTCTCTACGCTCTCATTCTCGCTCTCTGCGCTCTCATTCTCGCTCTCTACGCTCTCATTCTCGCTGTCCGCGTCTTCTATTAAGCTTAAGGTACGTTCTTTGTATTTTCAATCTTTCTGATTCTCTTGCTCACATTGAAGCATATTACATTGTAATATATTTGTGTGTCGCGAAGTTCGCGTTCCAGTCTCCATTCGCCATTGTTGTTGTAGGCGCGCTTATTGAGAGTTAGTGCATTATATATTTTTAGGGTTTATAGTTTGTCTACATTGTGATCTAAAATTGTGTTTTTTGGGTAGATAAACGATTGAACATTTACATTGACTATTTTCGTGTCCAAGTTCCGAACTTATATAACTTGCTATTATATTGTTGGCAATGGTAGGAATTGTATCCTTCATCGTTTATCTAGCATGGGAGATATAAATGAAAACAGAGATGTAGTCGTCAATGAAGGCATTTTGGCCGTGTATGATGACATAGGTAGTGATGCGGATGTACAACAATGTGATGGTCCTCTCAAAGGTGTAGACCAAGAAATGATAGGTGTACATGATAAAATACCCGAGTAATGCGGATGCCACAAGTTTACATGAAGAAGAAGTGTTGGTTGGCCATGATGAAGGATCTCCTGACGCAGATGTGAGGACTACAACAGTATCACGACTGCTCTGTTCCATGTGTAGGAATGTCTTTTGAAACTGCAGATGCAGTTAAATCATTTTATCGACAATATGCCATACAAAAAGGATTTGGCATCAAAACAAGGAGTTCAAAGAAGGGGCCCGATAACCAATTGCGGTACTTCATGTTGGTGTGTGCAAGGGCTGGGAAGTATGTTTCGCTACACCTACTCGAAATTAGGACCCAACCCACCAAAACAAATTCATGTCCTGCACGGATAACAGCTTGGATTAAAGGAAGGACTATGGTATATTATGTCGATAAATGATGAACATTCACATTCTCTTAGCCCAAAGAAATCCAGAATGTTTCGAAGCAATAGGAACATTAGTTTGCATGTGAAGAGGACTCTAGACATAAATGATGATGCAGGCGTGAGGATCAATAAAAGCTTTCGGTCAGTTGTTAGTAGTGCAGGAGGTTATGAAAACCTCCAATTTGTGGAACGAGATGTACGCAACTATGTCAATAAACAAAGACGTGCACTAGGAAAAGAAGGTGACGGGAAAGCTCTATTGAATTATTTTTCACAAATGAGGGACTTAAACAAGGATTTCTATTTTGATATAGACTTGGATGATGATAATCGGGTCAAAAATGTTTTCTGGGCTGACGCTAGAAGTAGGGCGGCTTGTGAATACTTTGGCGATGTTGTTTCATTTGATACAACATACTTGACCAATAAATATGACATGCCGTTTGCGCCATTTGTGGGTGTAAATCATCATGGACACTCCATATTGTTAGGGTGTGGGTTGTTATCAAGTGAAGACACCACTTCTTTTATTTGGTTATTTGAATCATGGTTACGTTGCATGTCATTGAAGGCTCCTACGGGTATTATCACTGACCAGTGCAAGGCAATGCAAAATGCCATTCAGATAGTTTTTCCTGAAGCCCGTCATAGGTGGTGTCTATGGCATATAATGAAAAAAATTCCAGAAAAGTTGAAAGGTTATACAGAATATAAAAATATGAAGTATGCTATGAAGGAGGTTGTTTATGAGTCTTCCACCATATCTGAATTCACATACAAATGGGCTAATTTCATATCAGATTTTGGCTTACAAGACAATGAGTGGTTGAATAGCCTTTTCCAAGAGAAACAGAGATGGGTTCCATGCTTTTTGAAAAACCAATTTTTGGCTGGGATGTCAACTACACAACGAAGTGAAAGTATGAATGCATTTTTTGATGGATATATCAACTCGATGACATCCCTCCAACAATTTGTCAAGCAGTATGAAAATGCCTTACAAGACAAGGCTGAGAAGGAATATGAAGCTGATTTTGCATCCATGCATACAATTATTAATTGTGGATCACAGTCTTTGATAGAGAGGCAATTTCAGTCGGAGTACACACATGCAAAATTTGCAGAGGTTCAAGCAGAATTTAGAGGAAAAATTAACTGCAGTGTTGTGCATGTGTCTTGCCTTGGATCTGCTTGGTTTTATGACGTTATGGAAGAACGTATTTGCGGTGAAGATTCTAAAGAACACCTGTACAGGGTAAGTTTCAACCGTGATGACCAAAATGTCAGTTGCACGTGCTTGCTATTTGAATTCAAAGGTATTCTTTGCCGACATTGTTTGGTCATCCTTCCTCAACAAAGGGTTAAAAAGATTCCCTGCAAATACATTTTAAGTAGATGGAGTAAAAATGTGAGAAGGAAGCATACTTATATGAAAACCACCTACAATGTCAAGGAGAGGCAACCGCAG